ACAAATTATTCTATAAGTGTTAATGTCCACACAGGGGAAGGAAAGGAAAACTTCAGTTGTTTTCTTTAGATAACACAAGGTTAGTTCTCAATGCTAAAAGGAAAGTCTGGTGGTTCCAATCTACCCAGAGGCATCACGGAATAAAAGACTCAGTGATCTTCCATTAAGATTACAACCAAGAAAACCCTCTGGAACCGTTCTACTCTGTAACACATGGGTTGCCATGAGTCACAATTGACTTAACGGCACAAGACAATAAAACAGTTTTATCTTAAGTCCTGATAGCAATTGAGCCTGTTCAGGGATCTTTCTGTGCTCCACGTGCAATGAGATCTACTTGGAGGAAGTGATTTCAACTTCGACAGAGTGTCGGATTCGAGAGACAAGTTGACAGCTAGCACTTTAAGGTATTTTTGGTGAAGGGGAGACACTCTAAGGGGTTGGCTTACAGAACAATGGTTTGTACCACTTTATCGCCCTGGTGATTCTCAACCCATTGGAAGCAATTGTGGAACCTGTGAGATTAGAGCACGCCCCACTAAGTCTGAATTGGGGTGAGTGTTTTTATCAACAGACACTGGGTGATTCTCCTGTGGTTCCCTCACACCCAGCAACCATCCAGTCACTAGAGGTCAGCGATGGTATCGCCTCAGTTCTTTCTGGTTCCCTATCCTTTACAGTGTAAGGATATTTGTGAAGTGAGGGTCAGAATCCAGGTCCCCTTGGAGACAGGGGATCTGAGCTGCCACAGAATATGACGATTAAGGGTACAAAGGACATTCATTTATCAGGCCTCAGAACTCCAGGAAATGATAGCCCCGTTGTTGGGTTATTACTCTGAAACAATCAAGTCTTTTCTTCCCTCCTTGCTGGACCAAATCTAAAGGCAACATTTGGGTATCAGAGTCCATTGTGCTTCCCACAGGTAATGTGGCTACAGCCATGAATGGACAGGGATAGCAGCAGGCCATGGTGACAGCCAACCTTAGCAAGTCCCTCCAAGTCATGATTCTCAGTCACCCTTTCTGGAGAAGTAAGGAGCTATGCTAGAAGAATTTGTTGTTGTTAAGTACCATCGAGTTGGTCTCGACCCATAGCAACCCTGTATAGGGTTTCCAAGGAGCAGCTGGTGAGTTTGAACCACCAAACTTGCAATTCAAACCGACTTTGCAGTCTAGCGCATTAACCCACAATGCTG